AATGTTAAGTATAAATAAATTTGTAATGATTAGTTTGTTTTGAAACATGTGCTAAGTTGTGCCGAAGGCGTGGTCACGTTTTCTCATAAACATTTATTCCAAGGCATTGAAGTTTTTTAGAACTTGTTTTCTCGATCCAGTTATATACTTATATTGAATAAATTATATATGAGTTCTTTAAATAGACTTATTTACAATGTGTTTAAATAACACAATATGTTATATTAATCCTTTCCAATTGAATCTATTTCGGTTAAATATTAGCTTCACAACTTCAAGATAAACATTTTAAAAAGAAAAAGAAAAGTTTCAACAATGAAAACGTTACAATATTTGTTCAATTCCTACAACATTTTTATTTTTTTTATGCTTAAAGTCTTTTATTGAGATATATTACATCCTGCCTCAATTAAGGACAATTATAATAGAATTCAGAGAGCACATGTACACCATATTTACAGAAAATATAAATAAATAAATAAGAAATAGATAGATAGATAGACAGATATTTTATTTGTTTTAAGGGAGTTCCCCATACAAATAGAGCCTAGCTTGGCTATTGTACAATAATATGGTTTTACAAATTTACATACATATAATTTAAATATAAATAAAATTTACAACATTAATTAACGTTTAGAATGGTTTTCACAAAACATGAATAACAATAAAAATTAAAAACATAAAACGATTACTGCATAATTATAGTTATATGAACCAGTTACTATGATAGATACAATAAAAAATAAAAATATTTATCAATATAAACAAAATATTACTCTTAAGATAAACTAAAAACAAACACTTAATATAACATGGGCTATGATCACTAGCGGATCCAGGATTTAATTTTGAGGTGGCTTCAGCCCGAAACCTTTTTTTTTTCATAAAAATAACGATAATTACTTTGGAAAAACAGAAAGAAACTAACTACCTATATGAAATGGTGTTTAAGTTATTCCTTAAGTACTTTTAAATGTAATTACACGAACAATAATACTTTAAGAGGTATTTTTATAATTTTTTTTCCCATAAAACATGGTTATATTTTTCCATTTTGGGGGGGAGGAGCTTCAGCCCGAAAGCCCCTCCCGTAGATCCGCCCGTGGCTATGATCAACAATTTTGTGTATGCACTTTGTGTACCCCCATCATATAATAGTAAACTTTATTTAATTTATCTATACAATCGATATTCAGTATGGATTCGATTTTGCGGTTATCAGAAGATTCTGAAATGAAGTTTTGAAGGAATTTTTGTCTATAGTTATTGTATAAGTAGTTATAAATAAGAAATAGCAAGTAATAGAAATGAGAACAAAATAAAATAGCATAAAGAAAAAAAAAATTGTAAAAGGAAAATAAATGTCTCAAACATAGTACACCATTTACGAAACTATATATTTTTTACTTATTTTTGACAGAGGCGTGTAAGATCGCATAACACAAATGCTGCTGGTAATATATAATTTTGTATTTTGATTTATTCTATTTTTTTCTCATTAAGAAAGATAAGAAAGGTTTTTATTCACGTGTTAGAAGAAAACAATTTTTTTACATTCGTATGAAGCATTACATATATTCTAGCACATTACATAGCATTCTATATTCGCATAATATATAGTAAATCGATTTCGATGAGTTTTCATAAAATTTCATTCACTACTTTTGTCCAAACTTAATTAAACACACTTATATTTCAAAAAAGGTTTGTTGGATTTGGTCTTAAGTTGTGGTCTAGGATAAAAATTTTTTTGTATCAATTTAAACAAATTCCCTTCCCTATGAATATTTTCTTCATTTGACAGGTTCCGTATTTAGTTTATATCGGTTTTTATATTTAGAACTGTTTTATTTATTATGTTTTTAATAAGTTTTGTCAGACTATGTATATAGGGATTGCTGAGGAATTTTAATTTATTTTTATTATAATTATTAATTTTTGTTAATGACAGTAAAAATTAAATTTGAAAAATAAATATTATATTGAAATGGGGTTGAGAGCAGACACTAAGAAAGACCTGTTATCCGAACAGTGAGGAGTTAAATAACCACCGTTGATCTAATTACAAGAGACAATAGACTTTAGAGTCTAGTCACTTAATTAACAGGTGAAAAGTAACGGTACCTGGACGTTACTCCTACGCCAAACCTGGCTCTTGTACTCTTGTACTCTACCGTACTTATTATATTTAAAACCTAAATTATAGTAATTTATACGATTAAAACCTCACAGCCATTTGTCTCATAAATTCATATAAATAATAAAATAAGCCGTCAAAGTTTTAACATACTCAAGATCACATGAACCTATTGTATCAAATCGAATACTGAAAGAAAAGCGAAGTAATAGAGGCGAGGAAGTTTATAATAAAACAGCTGACCAGATAAAAATAAAAATATTTAATTACCTACCAAAATATAAAAATATGCCTCAAAAATACAAATAATAAGAAAAATATTATTTTGTGAAATGCATAATTTTGTTTGATAATTAAATTTTTATCATATTTTTTTTTATCTACTGTTTAATTATAACCATCCACATCTGTGCTATTTCCATTTCTTCTAGTACGTCAAGATTGCTTGTCATGGAGTGGTGTGATCTTAAGTTGCTTATCTTTTTTGTCCTGATGGCTACATTGGTTATTTTGTTATTTACCTTGATTTTTCAGACACATGGCTCTGTGCTTGGAATTTTCCAATTATAGCATTAATTATATAAATGTTATATTTCTGAAATTATTTTTTTACGACAGTGAATAACTTTAATTAATATAGTTTTACAATCTTCAATTAACGTGTCCTTGTGATTATATATATATTTTTTTTAACGATATCTTTTAAAAAAGGTTTAAATATCTTTGTCAAAGATGGCTAGAACAAGACTAATTAAAATATAATTTAATAATAGGTTGAACTGATAGAAAATTAAATAAACTTAGTATAAATATCATTCTATAATCATTAGTGTTGCACAAAATCGGTCTTGGTCTTGCACTTTCGCAAGATCAAAACCAAGGCCGCCTAAATGTTGCATGACCAAGACCAGGACTGTTAAAAAAAATAGATTTTTTGAGTAAAAATTAAAACAAAATAGTTGCTAATACTTGACAATCTTAGTTACTATATATTAATAGTTGGTACAACCAATTTTTTAGCATTGGTTAGGTTTTAACTCCTCATTTAAAGCATTTAACTCCTCTAATTTTTTATTCGGGCTTAGTTAGATTTCTCCTTACTAAAAAATTACAGTAATATAGTAATAAGCTAATAAGTGACTGCAAGACTGTTGCGCAAGACCAAGACCATGACCAAGACTGAATTTGCAAGACCAAGTTTCGTCTCAGTCACGCATTTGGGCAACTTAAATAATAATGTAGAATAATTTTCCTATAATTTAGCGCTTTAATAATAAAGTACTTAATTAAATTAAACATGTCTGTGTTGATACAGGATTTCATAAAAAAATGTTGAAGATTACATCTACAATCTATTAATGAAAGATTATGATGGATTGATGCGTTACTGAACGGCTAGATGGCGGTGGTGTAGTGAACTCCAAAGAGGAAGTGGAACTCCGGGTCAGTGTGCGACTGGAACAAGAAGTTGCTTCCACTTTTTATCCTCTTTGCTTCTGTCACATCTTATCCAGCATCCGCCTTCCAACGAGTTCTTCAAGTTTCATCTCTTGCGACAACCCAAAGAGTATAATTTAATGTAAGATAGAAGATATTTATTTCTGTACTGCGAATACAGAAGTAGTGGGAAATATTTATAGAGGCAATAGTAGAACTCAGGAACTACAAAAAAAAAAAAGAGAAAACTAAAACATTTTGTGTTTATTTAAGTGAATCACGTTTTTATTTAATTTAAGTAACTAACAATCACAGTAAACTAGACAAAATTTACTATAATCGTAAATAGAATTTATCATTGTTAAAATCATTATAAGAGGACTTTTGAGCAGATAAACTAAGCTAAGTTCAATTTTAAAAAATATCATTTAATTTTTTTTTCAATTCCTGGGATGTATTATAATAATATAAATTCTTATAGTCCTTGGTACAGACCCATTTTTATTTAATTATTAATATCCGACTTAAACTTTGTAAATAGCTTCATCTCATCGTAACCTACAATTATTTTATTTACAAAAATTCTCAGAATTGGAACGTTTTCAATATGGAGATCGCCAAACTTTGTTTATTTAATTAAGTATTGAAAACTCGTAAATACCCATTTGCTTTACACTTGGATCATAAGATAATTTGATCACAAAATTGATAAAAAAAAAGGTCTATAAAAATGTTGGGCCGTTTGGCCTATGTAACACATTCTTTAAAACTTTTTTCTCGACTTTCTAATCAAGTTATCTTACGATTTAAGAGGAAAGCAAGTATGTTTTTACGAGTTTTTAGTAACTAATTAAATAGACAAAGTTTGCCAACCTCTAGATTGAAAACAACCCAATTCTAAGGATTTAAAAATATTTATAATGATGTAGAGATGGTAGAGACAACTAAAGTAAAGACAATTTCTTCTTATTTTATATCTACTTATATTCATTTATTTTATTTTCACTTGTTTTGTATCTTTTGTAGCCCTGATGAAGACCTGCAAAGTGGGTCGAAACATCGCCAAAAAAATTAAATAATACTATTTGTATAATTTAGAATTTATTTTACCGCACCCCCCGATCAACCCCTCATCAAAAAGTTAAAAGTTACGATGAGATGAAGCTATTTACGAAGTTTCAGTTTAATAATTTCATAAAAAGAGATCTGTACCACGAACTATATGTTTCAAAAATTTCGATGAGGATATCAAGACCAGATAATAATTATCAGATGTTTTTAAAAATTAAAACATTTTTATTAATGATAATCTTCGACTAACTATAATCGATTATTTTTTTTTTTCATTTAACGAGATTATTTCAAAAATCGATAAACCCTAATTGAGTTAGTCGCTCTCGTAGATGATGATGGCCTCGGGGTCATGATCCAATTTCTGACATGGGATCCTCCGAGATTGGAAGAAATCCAATTTGTCTCGGCCGGAGTCAAACTCGAGGATTCAGTTGTGCCGAAGAGATTGGCTATTCCAGAGCTAGGAGTCCGCTTATTTATTAGGAACAGTGTTGCCAACAGGAAATGCATGCTGTGCTTAGGAAGAATGGTGTCACTTAGATTCTGTAGAACAGGGGTCAAAGTAAATTCATATGCGCAGTTCGAAAACAGGAATATGTGCAATTCCTGACTTATATATTCCATAGTACAGACCCCTTTTTATCAAATTATTAACATCCGCCTGAAACTTCGTAAATAGCTTCATTTATCGTAACCTACAAATATTTTCTTCACAAAACTTCTTAATTAGGTACTAAAAATTCGTAAATATCTATTAGCTTAACTCTTGGATCGTAAGATAATTTGAGCACAAAATCGAGAAAAAAGGTAGCCTTCAAAAATATAAAGCCGTTTAACTACCTACACCTCTAAATGGTCAAAATAACGAGGTTATATAGGACAAAGGGGCCAACATTTTTGTAAGTCATCTTTTTTATCAATTTTGTGATCAAATTATCATACGATCCAAATGGGGAGCAAATGATTATTTACGAGTTTTTAGTACCTAAGTTTTCCGGTACTCCAGATTGAAAACGCCCCAATTTCAAGAGTTTTCGTAAATATAATATTTGTAGGTTACGATGATATGAAGCTATTTACGAAGTTTCAGGCGGATGTTATTAATTTGTTAAAAAGTGGTCTGTACCACGGACTAAAAAACATAAACATAAAATAACTTTGTAAAATTTGATCGAGATAACTCAACCTCTATATTTTTTCGCTTAAATAATTATTTAATTATGAAAAGTTACTTAATAGAGGCTGGGTGTACCGCAGAAGGGCGTATTCGGCTGATATAACAGGGTTAAAAATTACCTACCATAGTACGAATCGTATCAATGATCTAGAGCATAGGAGCATAGTGCTTTACATACTGTGGTAAATATAATTTTTTTTTCTATTAGGGTTTCTCCCTTTTTTTCTAACTTTACCTTTTTCTTTTTTTCTGAATCTAATAAAATCTTAATAATTGTAAAATATTATAAACTCACTCGAAGACCGAAATATATAATTATTCACCCGGAGAATGAAATATAGAAATATTATATTTTTTCCTAAGGAATTTCCAATGTGAGATTACGTGTTCATATATATCCTGGTGTCAGAAAGGGGTGAATGAGAGAATAAAGATGACAATGTGAAAGTAAGAAAATCTGTTGCCCGCATCACACAATCTTCACTATTTCCTCTACTTTAAACAGAAATTATTTTTTGACAATACTAAGCTATAGCAAAAAGTTTTTGATCAGCAATATTAGGAAGTATTGAAATTTTTACACTGATCTACCTTAAGCCGGTTTACATTGCTTTAGTTTATCAAATAAATCGTACTCAAATCTTATGTTTGGTCAATTTTCAGGAAAATGTATCTAGTTCAATTCTTTTTTGTTTCTTCATGAAAATATGTAAAGATGTAAAAACTTTTCTGAAATAGGTAGGAAAGTCTTGTGAGTGGACACACCATATATTTTTTATCTAATATTAGGATTATTCTAACCTGTTATTATTGCTAAACATTCAGCACGAATCTTGAGTGAACGACTCCGCGCTGTTAAAGTGTTATTAGATATAGTAATTGAATGCTACACCTACAATAACCTGGGGTTCATATGTTGAATTAAATGTTTAATAGTTTCAACACGTTGAACACTAATTATAAGAAGTGTGTCACCTATAAATTTAGGAGGAATTAGAAAAAAAAAATCATGGTTAAGATGAAATTTTTGTCCAATGCTTTTTTTTTTTTTTTTTTAAGACTTTATCACCCTTTCTCACATTTGAATTAAAACAAAAAAGTAAGCATACGGTGAAACTTATAATAAACTTTCCTTCGCATTTACGGAATTAGTATAATTTTTACAATATACCATACCTCGTTAAAATCTTGTGTGTTAGCGGCCATATTCAGCACACGTATATTTAAAAAGTTTCTCTACTTTAACACACTTAAAAAGTTTAACATACTTTTTATCACTGATCGCATGAATAATCATGCTGAAATAATAACATGCGACATATTCCGACATGGTTTAGCATGTTCTACTGCATTCCTTCACCGTTTATTATAGCATTTTGCAAAAATTACTCGCCATTTTGTTAAGAGCGAGCAGAAGCCGCTGGCACACTTCCCGGAGCCGGTGCATCCAAGGAGGGCATCGCTCCACAATCCATGGATTCCAGACCGGGACAATTAGCAGCACTGTCTGAGAGGCGGCGGATCTACTTCGAGGATGTCGGGTGTCCTGGGTCGGGATGTCTTCTGTGGGATAGAGGACGCCAGGATATGGAGGCGATACCGGATCTAGGATTTAATTTTGGTGTAGGGGAGGGTTCGGTCTGTAAGTACTCTTGAAGTAAAGGAAAGGAACTATATAAAATAATGTTTGAATGGTTCTTGAAGATCTATTAATAAAATATATATTAATCATTTTAAGAATGTCTTTCCAATATTTGACAGAAAATTTTCATACAAAATAATGTGTGCGAATAATAATTCATAATATCCAGGCTTGAAACACAAGAAATACTTTAATTTTTTTAAAAATCGGTATCGACATTTATATTATAGATAGTTTTTCAGTTCTTTTGATACTTGAACTTTTTCTCTTGCTATTTTTCAAAAAAAGATTTTACTGAATTTTTATTTTAAAAACCTTTTAATTAGTGTTGCCTAAAATCGGTCTTGGTCTTGCAAACAAGGCCGCCTGACTGTTGCAAGACCAAGACCAGGGACTGGTAAAAAAATTCGATTTTTTAAATAAAAATTAAGGCAAAATAGTTACTAATACTCGATAATATTAGTTACTATATGTTAATAATTGGTATAACCAATATACTTTTGCATTTAACTCCTTTAATTATTCATTCAGGCTTAGTTAGGTTTCTCCTATCTAAAAAATATCTCTATAGTAATAAGCTAATAAGTAACTGCAAGGCTGTTACGAGACTCTTACGCAAGACCAAGACCATGGCCAAGACTGAGTTTGCAAGACCAAGACTCGTCTCGGTCTCGCATTTGGGTAACACTACTTTTAAAAAAAAGTTTGTCGATTTTGCTTAGAAGTTGATTTAAAAAGAACTTTTTCTTAGTTATTCAAACAAACAACACATTAGAATCATGTATAATTCATTTAAGGAAAATTGTTATACCGATATAAGACAAATTACTGTTCATTTTTCATTTAACGGAACTTTTTTTAAGAACTTGAATAAATACTAGTTTAATGTTTACTATTAATCTGGAATTTTATTACAAAAAAGTTTCACATTAACTGTTAAAATGGACTTTATTCAAAAAACTTCAATCCCTGATAATAACAAAATATATTTTGAAATAACTATTTACGCAGAATGGTATTAATAAATTGAGAAAATAGAATAAATGTAATAAACTGTGTTATTCTTGTTAAAACTGTTATGTTGTATAAGAGGTGCGAGTTGAAGCGCTCTCTGGATGTGCCACATGTGACTTCCGAGGTAGTTGTTCGCCTACTGGCACGAACTATATATGCAAAAGCCTTCAAGATTTTATACTTAAAGATAATTTCTTTTCAGTAGGAATCGAACCCTGAGTTCCGTTAGTGGCACATTGCTAAGAGACTATGTCGTGCCGGAGACTTCAACGCACAAAGAGACCGCTGGACTCGCTAGCGGATACGAGAACTAATTGCAACGGGTTGCCACGACCGCGATTGGCAGTCAACTGTTGAAGATACCATCTCCTCAGGAGCACCATCAGCCGATCCTCCGCAAGAAGATCCTGATTGGTAATTGTTGCACGAAGTGTCCATCTCATTGCTCGAGGACAGCGAGTTATCCCTCTTGGATCAGAGATAGGAAGAACATCGTTAAATCGAATAATGTTAAAACTATAAAAAATGTTCACATCTTCTAATTTACAACAAATATTCATCGATGAAATCATCGCTATAAGATTTACGAGTTAGAATAAGTTTATTTTTTTGTTAATTAAGGAATTCTCCACTATTATATGGTTCTCCTTGACCTAAATACCAGTTTGAATATTTTTCCATAATTCTCGATTCATGTCTCGCCAGGCTTTCTTTCACCTCGTGCATCTTACCTTTGGTCTTCCTTCTGTTTCCAGTCCCATATACAGACCGTTCTTTGAGCATTTTCTCTAATTTCCATACACTATCGAAAACTGATTCCAACTATTTAAACATACACACTGTTTTAACACTTATTTCGTTTTATCGGCCTATTGCCAATTGAATAGGTAAAAGATTAATCTATCGTTGTAAAAGGTTAGTTCATTGATGATAAAAAATGCTTAGCAGGAACTACCATGCGCATATTTCCGATGGGAAGTTTCTCAGTGAAAACTGAACACGGTCGAGTGCGCCCTCTGTTGATGAAGAGAGAGGTGAAAATGAAATTGAAAAAAAAAAAGTACGAAAAAAGAAATGTATGTGTTGATAAGAAATGTAGGAGTCTGGCTGGGAAAGCTCTTCCCTCTTTCCATGGCTGGATATGTTAATAAGTTTCTAACCGGACCATGACCGCTATCGACCGCGGTACACTATATCGACTACTATCGATGTATTATCGACAGTTTTTCAATTATTGCATAGTGAAGATGATTTTATTATTCTTTGATAGCAGAAATATTGAAAATACAGGTACTCTTCACCAATAGCGCATCCAGGATTAAATTTTGGTGGGGGGGGTGCAGTATGTGGAATTTGCTCTGTTTTTAAGAGAAGGTAAGCAATAAAATATCTTAGGAGTAAGGGGATAGATTCTTACGCCATCAACCGTGGAGGGGGCGGCTACCTCTACTCCATACTGAGTTCAATGGTTGAAAAATTGTACGTAAACTGATTTGTGGCAAACGAAACCAGAAGTTTGGGCAAAGTTAGAAGAAAGCTTCAATATATTTTTATTACAACGATTAATTCATATTAAATTATAATGGGTGATAAATATTCAGGGCGTGGTCATTATAAAGTTTTTATTAGTGCCGACGTTTCAACCCAAACATGTGGGACATCATCAGGGAGTGTTTCGAGCACTGAAGGTATTCAAGTACTGAGTACTGAGTAATTTATCATGATATGTAGAACAGTCTACTAACTCCCTCCAATAATTCATATTAAATTATGTTTTAATATATTTAATATAATAAGAGCTTTGTCATTTTTTGCATAGCATTCGTCAGTAAACTTGTCTATATTCAGTTGTGAGCTTAAGATTAAAGTTCATTCAGACTGGAATATACCAATAAAGTTTAACAACCGTAGGGAAATACTTTTTTTCTGTTTTAGTTTTAAGTTCACTCGAGGACTGAAACTACAAGACTTTACGGTCATTCCGAGATTCCTTCAAAGGTTACACAGATATTATTTTACTGTAAGGAGAAGACATGTTACGAGGAGTATACAGCTGAAGAACAGGTACTTGGGTCGTTAATACTCAGTCAGATGGCAAAGAGGTATAAAATCGAAGACGAGCATGGAGCTAGAAACGTCCCCTCCAGAGGTGGTCGGGTCGTTCGCGAACGATAAACTGACCCGCCAAAGCCAATTTAATCTGAAAGAAACAACCCCCTCTCCTATAAAGTGAAAATGTTTATTTCCTCAGGTTACTATCGATTCATATCTCGCCTCCAGTAGTAGCTCCTTTCAGTATCCTTCAACCTCTTTAAGGATCAATAAAAGACAGAACATCCTTGAGAGTGTTCAAAGCATTTTATGGCAATATTATAGTACTCGGGGTCTCCTAAAAATAGTATAAAGTACGGATCTGAACTACAGTATTCGTTTTACTGCTCAAATACTTTTAAATTCCTTAAATACTTTTTATGTTTTATAGATCTTAACATAATATAATTTAAATGAAATAAACATTCTTAAGTGGCAATAAATGTTCGAAATATATTTATTGTTTTCAATAATGAACCATTGTAATCGAACGATAAGTTGAAAACCTTAAGCCCCTCTCAAAATTTGAGGTTTTACGTTTCAGGATACGTAGAGTTCGAAAAACTTTTTGTTCGTCCGCAGTCCGCGCATTTTGTCCGAAACTACAGGACTGATTTTTTTTTTTTTCAAATTTAGATTTAAAATCAAAGGTCACCCGAGGATGATCCTCCTTAATCGACATTACTATCCGCCTTTTCCTATCAAAATGGCGGCCAAAAAACCAGCTTTACAATTGTCAATAGACTGTAGAGCCTGAGAGAATGAACCGATTTCAATGAAACTTCGCTGAAGTCTTCTTCTCGATGCCCTTTAAATTTATCTATATAACATACTTCAACGAAAAGAAGCTGGAAAAAAAGTTACGAGGGATGGTAAAATTAGATTCCGAATAACTCAAAAAGTATAAACTTTTTTGTTGATATTGTATACGGTTATTTAAAATTTTTCGAAATTTCGTAAAAACAAAATAAAAATCATTAAAATCGGACAAATAATTGTTCTCTAGATGTTTTTAATATGTTCTACTGCAAAGGTTATATCGTTTGTTTTGGTTTTTGATTTTTGTATGTGTTACTGAAGTAATGTTATTATTTTTCTTTAGTACATTACTATTGATTAAAAAAAATGTTTAGTCTAATAATTGGAATCATCTTTTATTTCTTTTTCTTTGTCACCAGGAAGGTAAGGTTACTTTAGATGTATAATTGTTTGGAAATAATAAACTATTGTGATTTGTAGCGTTTTTTTTTTTTTTTTTTTTTTTATAGGAATGTTTATAAATATCTAAATAAATTCAACCTTTTAGAAATGTGAACCTGAGATAACATTAATGCCAGAGATGAAGGTCAGGCGGGAAGCTGTGTCAATCTACTTGGTGACGAAACCGAATTCCTGAGAGCAACCCGTAACAAAATAGTTCTCTTAGCAATTTAACAACATTCCAAAGAGAACATTAGAAAAGATGTCTACAGTTAGTCAACATATGATTTATATTCAGTTCTCAACTGGTTTAGGACTGTTCAATAACGAATTCAGGACGAGATTGCGCGTCCGTTACGAGTCCAAGATTCGTTACGAATAACTAAGTTTGAATAAGTCGTAAGTCACAGTAACAACATTAACATACCTTTGTTACCCCAGATAAGAAACATAAATATTTAACAAGAAATTACAGTATATTATTGGGAGATAGCAAAAAGCTTTGAATCTCTCGAACATCAGTATATTCTGTAGAGCTCCGCGATAGACTGAAAAGACTAATGATTTGTAAGATTTGTGATCGAGGCCCCAAGATATTCCCATGTATCTCACCACTACACTGAGTTAAAATGGTTTTTTCCCTCCTTCCGAAGACAATATTTCCTAGGTACGTTCCTCTACCAAATCCTCAACAACCATCGTCCTTCTTACGCCTATAACCTTCTCCAGTTAAAATCCTCTGTCCATTCCCTGTCCACAAGATCTTGACCTTCTAACCTTTACATGCCTTCTCAAAGATCTGATTCATTCCAAAACTCCTTTATTGCTCGCCTTTATTGCAAAACTGTCCTATTCCAATTCCTATCCCAAAAAGAGTCAGATATTTGCTAACCATTCGACAACATAAATTTATTTCATACCATTCATTGTCTAATATCAATGCTAAATAATAATGTATTCATATATTAATCAGGCATTTAATATTGTCAGATTCAGCTTTCTGTTTTCTCAACAGAAACACAAAGCTTATTTTAATAAAGAATTTAATATATTTTTTAATTCTTTACTGTTTTCTTAAAAGTGTATACTGGTCTATCAGTGCAAATAGCTTTAAGTGTCTTGTCATAGTGTTAATTGTTTTATACATAGAATGTTTACCTTATATTTTCGTTACATTATTTCTTTTATGCCATTGATTTTATTTTGGCCAGATGTACTCTTTTAATTTTGTTATTCTCAAGGGACCGTGTCCCAGAATAAAGTTATTTTCTATCTATCTATCTATATTACTAATCAATAAACGTTTCGCGATTCAGGCAGCAAATGGACAGCAAAAGATATCACGAAATGTAAATATATGTTGGCAATTCTCACTTCAACAGTATAAAAAAAATATTAGCCAAATAAGAGTTCACAAATCAGTCCAAGACAAAACATGTTCTGTCAAGGAATGATTTGTTAAGGAAAATATTTAAACATTTTTATATTCATCTGCCTATTTTTTTGTATTTAGCTGATTTCCCGTTATCAGTCATAAATTTGCCTATTTCATGTATTCGTTGAATTCCTGAATGATCGGAATACATGTTTGCTAAAGTCTTTAGAAAGCTTTAAGTATCTAAAACAATTACTATAGTTTTCTCAAGCAATGTACATGAATAATCAAGGTTCATAGCAATGGCTTCAGATTTAAAACGCCACATTTGCGAGAATTTTCTTAAATAAAAAAATTGTAAGTCACTACAGGATGAAATCATTCTTGAAATTATATACGGATTGTTCATTCCATTCGTTCAATATATTATAAGAATTATTCGTTCGAACCAACTAATACTTAACCTAAAAGTAATTATGACCTTTTAGAGTTTTTCTCCACATTAATTGATTTTATAATATTTCCTTGAGTTTTTCCTTCTTAGTTATTTTTTCCTTTTGATGTAATTACTTTCACTTCTTGGAACGATAACCGTTGCAGAGAAAGGAAGAAGAGGATAATGGACTAATGAGAAATCAGTTGCTGAGATTAATCGATTTATTGTGGACGGGGACAGCGAGCAATAAACCTAATTGGCTTGGCTACTTCATCATTCAGCAATGAGCTGTTCATCCTATCTCCATGTCGCCACTCAAATGTCTCTTTTGTCATTCTTTTATACATAATGCATTCTAATTTAAAATAACTTCATATTCATAACAAAAAAGAAATAAACATAAAAAAAATAAATTATAAAAATATCAGAATCAGCTGTTAATAATTTTAAGCAATTTATATTAATTTTTTTCTTAAAAGAAGATTCAATTAGAGTTGGATAAAATTTAAAAAAATAGACAAATAACATTAAAAACATTTTGTGAAATAGTGACAAATCGATGTAGAGGTTATAATCCATAAATAACATAAAAATTTAATTTTTCATACTCGGTTGTAAAATTCAATCATTTTCAAGAAACTCATTAGGATTTCCACATCACTCTCTGTATTCTGTAACATTTCTTGGGTAGTTAATAATTACAAAACCGATTATAATAATAATTGGTAAATGGTTGACTGTCGTGGATAATGAAGAGAAGAATAGTTGTATGTCTTAATTTTACTTGTTATTTTCATTTCTTATATAACTTCATATTTCTTTTTTATGTTTTACATTTTATTCTAAGATTCCCATTTTGACACTTATTTCACCCTTTTTGATTATACTTACTTCATCATTCCACACTTTGTAACGGTTATTATTATTTATCTCTTAGTTCTTACTATTGTCATTATTCTAACAATTTCATTTTACTTTATATTTATTTTTTTATTTTTTTTTATATTTTTTTCTTCTTTTTTACCATCACTACTTATGTTTCTCATACCTTGTTATCTGGTTATTTTCTTAGCCCTGATGAAGGCCTGAACTTCAGGTCGAAACGTCGACATATGTAAAAATAAATATTATCATTTATTTTTGCCTTCTTTTTTGACTGACCACCCCAACTATTCTTCTCTTGATTTTAATAATAATAATAAAAAAAAAATGTAAAGTTGACATATGTTTGTTAAATTATATTTAGATAAAAAGTTCTAAAACAATGGCCATCATATTTCAGAAATAAAAAATTATGAGTGTTTTGTAAACTTTTTTCAAGAAGTGTTCATCTTTGCTGAAAATCAGTGGGTCATTCCAGTATTGGCGATCTATTCATTCGACTGATAAATTTCATTGATGGAATCAACGCTGGGTTTCGGAACTTGCCAATATAACTGAAATACAGTTATATGCTACAGTCCTAGTTACCAGTTCCAGTGACAAAACGGAACTGACAGGTTCCAGTGACCCCCCCAGGAACAGCATTCTGGAGCAAACGAGCTCTCTATATTGGAAACCAGAGTAAATGCTCGACCTCGAAGTCTCTTTACTGTTGTTCTATATGGCCTTCAGGAGTGTCCTCTCAACCACTATCTCAACACTACAATATATTTAAAAAAATATTAAATATAACAAAAATATTTGTAAAATAAAATATCAATAGTCATGTTATAATAGATTATCAATTATAGATAATTATCAATGAACATGAACTCCATGTTAAATTAAAGATATTTTTTTATTTTTAATAAATATATCAAAATCAACTATATATAGGTATTCTTCCAAACTCTTTAGTAAGATTGATATAATTTACTCTAAATAATATATCAGAGACAATTAAACCGAATAATGTACTACTACCGAATGTATCTTAAATTGAAACTAATCCATGCACTCAAACCAGAGACTGCGCAGTTATGTTGTTTTGAACGCATCGTTCCTTATATCGCAGCTGTCTAAACAATCGATGAAAATGTGGAATGCACTGAGCAAACTCATTCGTCCTTGTCGTTGCACTCGTGCAAAGAATTGTATTATCTCAATATATCATGCTATTATCAATCTGTTTCAATAATAACTCTATTTGATAATTCTTTGATAGCCTGTAAATGTAACATTTGCTATCTATCTAATGAATTTATCTATTGTTTCCTGTTTCTGTCCATCATAGTTATATACTGTTTTTTTTGGGGGGGGGGAGGGGTGGGGTGGCCAAATGGGCTAACGAATGAGCACAGTACCGTGTGTTGCTCGCCAACCTGATAGAAAAGTAATTAGGACTTTAAATCCCGGTACCCGCTGGGATTTTTAACCCGACCTAATTCCTAGCCATCTTCCTCTGCATGGGAAAACCTCCGTGGAGTCTAATAGGCAAGAAAGGGGAGGACCTATTAATCTCAGAGTCATATTTTTATTTTTATTTTTTTATCGTTAACAAAAGTTTATTTTTGATAATAATGCAGCATAATCAAGTTATAACGAATAAACTTTAATATTAGAACAAAAAAAATTGAACTAATATAACAACGCATCACTGTAAATACTAAGTTGTACGTATATAGCGAAAAGTTTCATTAATTTTTTTACTTCCCAAATTAGCTATACTCATGTTGAAATTGAAGTGACATTAAAGTTGAGAGCTTCCCGATTTTTACGACTGGTAGAAACCCAGGAGAATGCTTAGAGAATCTGAAATGACATAGAGGTCAGACCTACAGATATAAGTGCTGTACGGTACCCGAAGGTTCGAAGCCGGCCGCCGGAGTGATTGTAACAATCAAAGTACAATAAAAGTATGCCTCGCCAAGCGAGCAGAGGCAGGCATTCGACTCCTTGCCGCTACAAGAAGTGGCGAAGCGAATCTCAAACGAGCCGTACATTGTGTCTACTACATTTTTCTTTACTTTTTTTTTTTATGGCCATCGTTCTCTTCAAGTCACTTAAGAAATGGTCGTCGGTTATAAGAAGAAAAAAAAAAGAGAATGGTATGAAGAGAGGGAAAAAAAATCTGCATTCTTCTAGTGCGTTCTGTGACCTTTGAAGGATGTGAAACTAACATAGTACCACTATCTTGAAGGTCTAGATGGAGAAGTGTCGGGTATCCAGGACCTTATCTTCATCACCTTCGCGGACGCTAAGGTCTTTAAATCTTCGGCGGGACTGTGGCGGGGCTTTTACGACCACGCCAGAGAAATGTGGGTCGCTTCAAGCCTTATAGCCCACACGTCTAGGCAATAATGGAACTATAATAAAATTCTACATTCCTAATTGTATTTGCTTTCAAACATCTTTGGTAATAACTGTTTGCAGTACGGCACACTTAGTACTTCAAAACCTAACAATTATATAATATATAGGGAATTGTACATGACATGGAGAACTGATAATAAAAAATATATTTCTTTAATATTTAATATATGCTTTAAAAGTTATTAATATATTTTTTATTATCAGTTCTCCATTTCATGTACAATTCCCTACATATTGTATAATTGTTAGGTTTTGAAGTACTAATAATAAGATAACAATATGAATAAGATAATAATAATAAGGAGAAAAACAGAATGTTTTGGTCAGGAATTTGATGCCTTGGAAAGGAGCAACGTATATAATATATAATATTACCAATTCCATAAGTTTTTTTTGTCATTATATATTTGGGTCCGGACTCCATCTATCCACCATTTGTTTGTTTTTACAACCACTACTCAAACACAAAAACAGAAACCACATTCAGCAAAACGGAAAGAATAACGAGGCCATAACCATAAAAAATGACTGAGTGAAGACGATATTAGTAACAGAAAGAAGGTGTGTATTTATTTCATATATACATATTTTCTTCTAACCATCCTTCACTAAAGCCAAAATTATATGATCAATCGAACAATAGTTGTAATAATTAGATAAAAATATTTTATGTTTATTATTTATAAACATTTATCATTTTCATTTATAACTATGATTTTTACAAAATATTCTCAATAGCACTGAATCTCTGCAAATATAGTGTTTGCAACTACAATAAAAAATAATTCTGTGTTTTGTATGATTCTTTAATTAATGTGCTTCAAGTCATTTTTATGTTCCTCTGAAAGATTTCAAACTTCTGAACAACGCCTCTGTTACTTAAAAGACTATTATAACAGTCCTCTATCCTTCCTCTTGATTCCATTTAATCGATATTCCTAGAGAAATACAGGACATCCTTCGAATAGTTTGGGTCTGTTTAACATTTTAATAATAAAAAATCACGGAAAAGAGACAAACAAAACGTTGGTTGGGAGTGCCAGGGCGTTTCACAGCGGACGGGATGAGTCAGGCCGGAAACAGAGGCCTTCTGAATCAGGCATTAGCATTCTCGGGCGCCACGGCCTCCGCTATAGTCCACACTTCCTCCCTCCAAAGACCCATCCTGCACTTCAACATCATTTCCGATTTAGCAGTTATGCATAATATGAAATTTTTAATGTAGTCACGCTTGATAAAATAAATCGAATCAATTTTGAAAGGAATACATATAATATCGACATTTGTTAAATTCAACACACAAGAAAATACTGTCGTTCTTAAAGCCTAAGGTTGATCATACTAGATCTGTTTAAAAATAAATATAAATTTAGTAACACAAAAGGTTATGATAAATCACTTCTTAAAATAAATTCAAAGATTTTTGGTGTTTTTCTTTCTTTCTTTTTTTTAACTAACGTTCAGCTTCATACCAAAGTAATAAATTTTATTCTCATTTCCATTCGTGGTAATGTTCCTCGAGACTCACAATGAATAATTTGAATAAACAAGACAAGACAGTGGCGCTGCCTTGCGTAACTTGGACAAGTAAAAAAGGTGCAATTAATCAGTCAAAGGATGGAGCCGTTGCATCGATGCCTCTCATACAACTTATGACGTAATTGATCCAGCTGGCATACAACAGAAGAAAAAAGAATAAAGGGTAAGAAAAAATAACTTTTTTTTTTTGGCTTTACAAACCTGGTAGATCTTTGGCCGCCTAAACTATTCTACATCTGTGTATCGAGAGCTTCGATCTATTCATCTGGTTTTTGGCCTTCTACGTAGTCTCTTGCGTGGCATCCATTGTGTTGTACAGACATTCTGATGGATTATTCTGTGCTACATACATCACCTTTTTTATCCTCCTTGGTTTTATGTCGTGAGATATTGATTGAGTAATTTTTATTGATCCTCATTCATTCGTTGGTACACGGACAGACCACTCCAGTTGTCGTGCGGTGGATTTTCCTCTTAAATATTTTTCCTAAGGTGCCGGTAAATTTCCATGTTTCGTAGTTATATATCAGAACCTTTATCATATCATTGCAAGTACTTAATTTGAGATTTTATAATTTTTTTTGAGAGAATTCCAATAACTTTTAGCCAAAGAAGAACGTTCTGTTAAAGCTTGTTGTACGCTAGTCTATTTCATATCGTTGGTCATTCATAGTGGAGGTTATAGTGGATAAAACGAATTTTATACTCATACATCTGAGACTTTTAATGGAATTATAATTTTCTTTTATTTCTCGCAGTTCATTTCTGAAAATATTATGTGTGTAGAGGTGCTCTCCCCCAAGCTTTCCATGAAATTTTATTGCTCTCTTGTAAAAACGATGCATTAGAAAAACGAGAGATAAATTAGAAAAATTGTAAATCATATACAATTACACTTGTTGTGGTCTTGTCCATGTTTTTACCCTTGTCTCATGGTTAAAACTTATCGGAAATATGATCTACAAAATTCAAAACCCTGTGTGACCCCACAAAAAATTGTAATTGCGCAACTTGCGCCTTGAAATCCCTTCTAAGCAACCATGTTGTATTGAACAAAAATCTTCATTATGTCTCTTTGTTAATAAAACATTCAAACCGACGTTTTGGAGATTCTCTTCATCAGGACTCCATTCTAAGAAATCAATTTAATAAAAGTAATCACTTCGAATAAACATAAATTCTAAAACTACAAAAGTATATAAATTATAATTTAGTCAAATTAATAGTACGTGACATCTGCTATAACCATAGAGATAGGAATGTCTCATTGTTATCGATGTTTATAATATTATCACGTTGATCTGTTATAACAGAAACGAGATTGTTTTCTTATATTACATTATATTATGCAGTATGCTTGTCGTTCCGGCACTTAAACGTTTAGGTATAAAGGAATACTTTAATGAAACTCAAAGAAAAAAGGAATCCTTTTCAACCAAGCTTCAATTCGATTGTCAAGAAGCTTCTACAAAACAATAACGTCATTGTAACAGTTCTGGTACCTTCTTTTACTTGATGCTCAATCGTTACTTAAACCTCGTCAATGTTTACAAGGGTTACTTTTTCATTGAGTTTTATAAAAGTATTCCTTTTTTTAAATATGTTCAAGTGGAGTTAGAGGAACCACTATATAAAAGATTTTTATATAAGAGCAGAAACACAAAAGAAAAGTGTATCAAAGGGTCAAGAGCATCGGATGGGCAAAGCGTTGAGCACAGGCACTTAACTAATCAACGGCAGCTCTAATTATTCCAATGAAGGACGATCGTGGAACAAAGAGGCTTCAAGCCTTCATTGTGTTGGCGAGGATCGGATGAAGGCAACTTCTGCGCAAGTGCCTGCTGGAACATGGCAGGTTGGCAGTCCAAAACATTTCGTGAGCTGAAAGGAGAGAAATTAATGCCACATTCATCCAAATATTATCTCTTAACCAGGGATTTAAATATCGAACGAAAATATTATCATCATAATATCGACAATTTTAGACGGAAACTGTATCTATAGTTTTCAAATATATCAATACATCAAAAAAGCAATATCGATATATGCGGTATCGATTAATAGCAAATAAAATATATGTTATAAATGTATAATTATTTTCAACACCTACATATATAGATGAACGAATGAAAATAATTTTATTATTCTGGGACTAGTGTCCCTTTAAAACAAATTATAAATACAGAGTATAAACTAACATTATGGAGTGTACATAAAAAAAAATAAATATTTATAAGATGAGTAGTAATAAAATAAAAGTACATATAATAAAAATATATAAAAAGGTGCATAAATATAAAATAAACTGAGAAAAGTACTTTGACAGTCTTACGACTAAAATTTTTAAGTGCATTTCATGAATAGGAATGGAATAGGTGCTTGAAGAGGAGAGATTTGAAAGAGGAAACTAACTTTGCGTGTCAAATATCGGGAGGAACAGAATTACAGAGAGAGACAGCTTGAGTTAAAAAGGATTTGTCAGACGCAGCAGTTCGGTGAGGAGGAGGATAGATGTCTGCCGTACGGGATCTGGTGGGGCGGGATTGAATGGAGGATTTGAATTGTAAGATCTATAGAATATAGGAGGGTAGCCAAGTTCTAATAGCCTGGAAGGTAGCAAGGAAATTTCCTATTGGCGGATTAAGCCACGTCAACTCGGTATAAAACTGGGTAATATGCCTATCCCTTGATATCCCGAAGATAAAGCCTATTGAGCAATTCGTTAGACGTTTAAGTTGGCGAAGTGGGGGAAAACAAGAGATGAAACCAGAAGTTGACGTTGCAATAAATAGATGATTCTTTTATTCGATTCTACATCCATACCTATATACAAAGATATACCTTTGTGGAAAAAAAAAATTATAACAATATTTAACGTAAGAGAAATCTAACTAAACCCAGAATGAAAAATTGAAAGAGTTAAATAAAAAATGCATTAGTTCGACCAATTCTTTGAAAATTGTAACTAAAACTGTTTAGTATAAATAACTGTTTTGTCTTAATTTGTATTCACACAAAAAAGCTATTTATTTATCAGTCTTGGTCTTGCAACAATTAAGTGGTCTTGGAGATTTCGAGTAATACTTACAGCAGATCGTTCCTAAGCTAAGTATAAATCGATGTTGCTTTCTGCTGGATTTAATCGATTGATTACATCTCCTACCTATCGGCGTGCTTTCAATAGGTATAGTATTGTATTAAACTTTTGCTGAACAGTTCGTGTAGCGTTCGTACAGTCGACTTTTTACTAGAGCGTTAACAAGTGACTGCCTAATCTGTAAGTAATTTGCATAGGACGTGATCTAGGAACCTCTTCGACAATTACATTCGATGGCGATAGTCGAACCAAGGCCGAACTTTCCAGGATCGTCCTCATTCGTCACTTGCACAATGCTCCTTAATCCCGATACGGTAGCGACTACTTTCGTAATCTGCAAAGTGAGGGAGCATCATATTTTCTATTCAAGAAAATCATTCTTAAAGGTTAATTCCGTAGAAATTATAAGCCTAAGGATATACCATACGAGAACTACTAGACTAGCTAGAACTCACGTTTGAACGCTATCTTTCTTCTTAACCCATTCGA